GTACCAAGCTGTTTTTATCACAGTGGCTTTGTAGTATAGTTTCAAGTTGGGGAATGTAATACCCCCTTGCCATGTCTCTGTTGCCACAGTTGGCTGTCATGGCCATTGTCCTCTAGCCCGACAGAACTCAACTTCTCACCAACTCCTGACTCAGAGGAGCTCAAGACTGTCCAGGTGCTGTGGGTGCTGGGCTCCTACATCCTAGTGGGCAGGTGCCCTATTGCCACAGGCTCAGTGCTTTCTACCCAGGTCAGGGCTGGAAAAGGGGCTTTGCTACCTCATTCGAGGCAGGCCCCACTGGCCCTCTGTCAGGGACTGGAGCACACCAGGGTGACAAACAAGTGGGCAGCATATGGAAAAGGCCTTGGAGAAAACAGGGAAAAGAGGTAGTGGAGAGATACTACTTTGTGTGTGTGTGTGTGTGTGTGTGTGTGTGTGTGTGTGTGTGTGTGTGTTTTCTTAAGTGTAGTATTTTTTAAATGTTTTACTAAAGATACAAGTGCATCTTGGACAAAACCCACTCATTTTCCTGTGGCCCTCTGATGTGCTCTGTGCCTGCCTGGGAAGGGTTAGTAGGGGCGGCTCACTAGTTCTGCAGGGGCCGGAGGCATGTGGTAGTGGTAGGTGGGCCTTGCTCTCCTATGTTGTAGACAAAGTTCTGTGGATGTGCAGACAGACCAACTCTCCTTGCATGGAGCTGAAGAGTAGGTGTCCCTGCATACTAGCTGGTGGAATCACTTTTATTCTGTGAGCATGGGCAAGACCTCTTAGGTATGACCCAGACTGCTTGATGGGCTTGGTGCTTGGCAGGCATTTCATAAATATTTGTGAGAGGAAGAAAGAGGGGAAAGGTCATCCATGTAGTTTAATTTTAAGAACCCTGGGGACTTGGCACACCAGGTACCACCTGCTCTCTCCCAGGGAGCCTGACATTCTGCCTTTCGGTGATCCTTCCACCTACACAGAGCTTCTGTGTTCTGAAATAGGCATCAATCGTTCATTCATTCAACAAATCTCTATCTAGTACCTACTCATGCCAGGTGCCATTTATAGATGCTGAGAGTGTTGCTGTCAGCAGAACAGTCAAATCTTATGCTTTCCTGAGATTTATGATCTGGAAAGGAGGAAGAGTAGTAAGCAAACAGGGAATATATTAAATATTTGTGTTTATAATGCACATGTGAGTAGTATATTATATGGTGGTAACTGTTAGGAAATAAGCGAAGAGAGAGCAAGCATTTGGAGAGGGTGCCATGGAGACGCCCCCCCAAGAAACGCAGCTGAGGAAAGACCTGAAGGAGAAAGGAAAAGAGCTATGTAGACATGTCAGGGAAGGGTATTTTAAGAAATACAAAGGCCCTGGGCCGGGGATTTAGCTCAGCGGTTCGGTGGCCTGCTTTGCAAGCGCAAGGA